CACACAGATTTATTTACCACAGAGCTGATGGGTTTCAGTCCTTGGCAGGCCACCTGGAGACACTCGCTGACAGAGACACACGGAGGTCATCAAATACGCTGCGGCAGGAGCTTGGTCTCTTGACTCGAAGAGAGGCCTCTAACAGTCTGGGCTCAGAAGGAGAGCAGGAACGGAAGTTTCCAAGGGGGAAGGAGAACGTCTTGTCTATGGAGGTCAGACAGGCGTCTGACTGCTGCTGCGAGAGTCCTTCTTTTTATACCCAATGGGTGGGCTGCTTCAGTGTCTCATATCAGTGTGCTCCGGTGGCCTTCGGGGCTTATTGGGATACACACGCAGGGAGTTACAAGTTGTTTGTCAGGAGTTACAAGTTATCTATCAGGAGGTAACACGCAGGGGGTTACAAGTTACTTATCAGGGTCACACACATATACACATTAAGTCTTCTACGTATAGTTTAAAATTCACTCTAATAAAAAATGAAATTTGATTATGCTATCTTATACTAACTAAACTTATTACTATAACACCAAGGAAATTTTATTCACACTGAAAAGGTGAAATGGACATCATGAAAATGGAATTGAAGCTCAGCCAGAAAATAATATAAGCAGCTAGCTGTCCAAAATGCTTTTCGGGGCTACAAATCCAGGAAAATGTACCCCAAGTGGCGAGAACCTGTAATTGCGACCTCCACATCACTCTCATTGATCCTCACAACGTAGGATAGTAAGGAAGACATTCTCATAACATGAACATTTTATTTAAAAAACATATGTACAGCGCTGTGATGTTGCAAAGAATGTGTATAGAAAAAATTCTGAAAGGTAACGCACCAAAATATTAAGAGCATTTCAGTTTGTAATATTTTTTTTTCTTATTTTCCCTAAACCCAAATTATATGTAATGCATTTGTATCACTTCACAGTGGGAGAAACAGGAATTTTTTGAATGATAAACAAGAAGACTAAAGCAAAGGACTTGTATGCATTCATATAAGCATAACCGATGGACATGGGACACTGGGGGATAGGGGAGGCTGGGGGACTGTCTGGGGCGGGGGGAAAAATGGACACATATGCAATCCCTTTGTAATAAAAAATTAAAAAAATTAAAAAAAAATAAAAAGAAGACTAAAGCAATAGATTATGAAAACCAAGCATCGGTTGAGATTGACGTCAATCCACAGCCCAATGATATACGTTGTGCAAGAAGATGGCTTATGGGCACTTGGATGAATATCAGATGACCGCAAAAAAAACAACATGGACTCTCTTCACACCAGTTACAACAAGTTTTGCCCAGTTGTGTTTTTGACATCATTATTAGGTTACTACATAAGAGAAAAATTCTTTCATTGTAACAGGTGTTTCCACGTTAACCAAGCATTTGATGACTGATCTTCTGATGGTGTCCTCAGGAGTGAGACGCTGAACGGTGGATGGGACTGTCATACTACGAGTTGGTTTAGCAGCTGCTATAATGCTCAGAGGCTATAACGTGAAACAACCGAACCCCATGTGGATTCATTAGCTCTGTTAGGTCCAGATTATATGAAAGGAAAGGAGGACTTAGAGAATGGATCACTATTTTGAAGAGAGTAGGAGGTATACATGTCTCCCATGAATACGACCTATTACTTTTTAAACATTTAAATCTTTACATTTAGAATGAGTATGGAGCCCAGCTGGTACAGCTTAGTGATTGAGCGTCCACCTATGAACCAGGAGGTCATGGTTTGATTCTGGTCAGAGCATATCATATGCCTGGGTTGCGGGCTCGATCCCCATTAGGGGGCGTGTAGGGGGCAGGTGGTCAATGATTCTCTCTCATCATTGGTGTTTCTATCTCTCTCTCTCTCTCTCCCTTCCTCTCTCTGAAATCAATAAAATATATTAAAAAAAATAAAATGAGTATGGACACACAACAGTGTTGAGCTGTATGGACCCTTCAAAAAGATCATGGATTTTAAGAAACATTCTTAAAGCATCTCATTAAATGGACATGCACAGATACATCAGGGACCTTCATAGGCGACGACACTTGTCTCTTAGGGACAGATAAATCCCAGTGATTATTTAAGTAGCCAAGGCTATTTATGACTTTCCCTTTGTTTCCACATATTAGTTTTTTTCAATATAGTACGTCCCCCTTCACCTGCTCTGCTCCAAAATGTTTGTATTTATCTACCAAGATGCTCACACTACAGATATAATGAGTAATGAGTAGCGTTTATAGGGAAGAATATATGAAAGAAATGTTTAATGCACTTCTCTATCCACTGAGTCCGTTATTTGAAAAGCTTGTAATTTAGAAACAAACTTCAAGAAGAAAACTACAGAAGTCTGTCCCCAGTCCCATTCGGTTCAATATTTTCAACAAACCAGATGAAGAATAGAACAAAACGTCTACACATTTTTAGATGTTGCTCAGCCGAGAGAATGCAGCTAGAAACCACAGGATAAATGTAAACCTCAGTGCATAGGTTAAGCAGGGGGTGAGGCACTTTTAGCTTACAGACGTTTCAGATGTTTCTGCTGACTACAAGTGCAGCCTGACCCAACAGTGACATGGCTGAAATGTAATTGGATTAGGCTGAGTTCAAAGGCATGGACAGCCCAATCTTAGACACAATTGCTCCTTTGTATTGTGCTGGTCAGACCAAAGTTTGGCCGTTCTTAAGGAGCACATTGAAAAGCCAGAACTCTCTGAAAGGCAATGAATTATCAAAGAACCGTGGCTGTTTACCCGGGAATGCAGAAGACTTAAAACACGGCCTCCAAAAAATAAAATAAAACAAGGGGAAAGGCACACACACAAAAGGAATTTAAAAAGACAATTGTCTCCAAATATTTCAAGAATGATTATGTGGAAGAAGTTTTAAACTTGTTTTGAGTTGTTCCTCAAAACAAGAGGAACTTGGAGAGAACTTGGAGCAATGAGTAGCATTTATGGGGAAGAATATATGAAAGAAATGTTTAATGAAGATTTTCAGCAATGGAGGGGGTTTCTTCAAGAAGTGGTGAGCAGCCTATCATTGGTAACTCTGAGGTTTTGGGCCCTTAGAGTTCAACTGAGTGATTATCCCAAAGAATAGACCAGGCCACTCTCCCACTTAGACACTCCATGGCTCCCTGTTAAAATTAGAACAAATTGCAATCTCCTCACTGTGGCCTACAGTGTCCTCCATGACCTGGCCTCTGCTGACCTCTATCCTCAGCACTCCGTACTTTCCGTTTATTTGTTTACTAGAGGCCCGGTGCACAGATTCATGCACCTGTGGGGTCCCTCAGCCTGGCCTGCGCCCTCCCACAATCCGGGACTCCTTGGGGGATGTCAGACTGCCACCTCTGCCTTGGCCCCCACCTGCTGTGACTTTGTCCGGAAGGAAGGAAGGACGTCCAGAAGGACATCCAGTCTAATTAGCATATTACTCTTTTATTATTATAGATTCCATGACTATTCTTTAAAGGTGACTGTGTACCAGAACAATGACAAACAAAGCAGATAAAAACCTCTACCCTGAAATTTCTCTAGTTGGGAAAGGTAAAAAAAAATAATAATAATAAACAAATAGATGAAGTGGTAAGTGCTGTGAGGAAAAATAAACATGGTAAAAGGAATGGAGATTGGTGGAAGGAAGTGCTATTTTAAATAGGACAATCAGGGAAGGCTTCTCTGAGGAGGTGACCTTAGAACAGAGACTAGAAGGAGTGAGCCCCATCAATCCCTGAGGAAGGAAGCATCAAGGACAAAACTCCAGGTCTGGAAGGGAGTGAGCATACCCAAGGAAGAGGCTGGTGAGGCTGGAGGGAAATGAGCAAGGAGTGAGTGAAGTTGGCGATGAGGTAGACAGGGGGCAGTCAGGTGAGGCAAATCTTGTGGGGCATGTTGGCCATGGTCAGGACATGAATTTCACTAAGCAATACAAATACAATATGGGAAGCCCCCTCACCAGAAGGTTCAGAGAAAAGAAGTCACATGATTTGAATAATATTTCCAAGGGACCCCTCTGGTGGCTGTGTGGGGAATATTCTGTAGGCAAACACAGGTAGAATCAGGGAGACCAATGGGTTGGGCTCTCTAGAAGCAGTTCCTGAGACCGAATTTGGAATGCAAAGGGTTTATTAGGAATAGGAACCAATATTTGTGAAGGAAGAAGAGAAAGCAAGATTGGCAGAGAAAATAGTTGCAATTCCAGCAAGCCTCGGGCAACCCAGTGGGGCTTTCTGGAGCAAGTATCACCTGTCAGAGTGTCCTGAACAGCTGGGTCTTTCTGTCCCCTTCTCGCTCAGTCACTGGATGTAGGTTGCCCAGGCAGGGCATGACCTCAGTCAAGGCAGCTCTCCTCAGCTGAGGCACAGCCCAAAGGAGCCCATGGCTGCCCAGCTGGATGGTACATTCCCAGACTCCCTTGCAGCTAGGTATGCCATATGACCATGACCCGACCAAAAGGATGTGACTGGAATTGATATGTTCAAGGCTGCATCCTAAAAAGGGAAGCTACCCTTCCCCTACACACACACACACACACACACACACACACAACACACACACACACACACACACACACACACACACACACACTGTCATTCTTTTTCCCTTTTTTGCTGTGGGCTGGAAAAAGAAGGAGCCTCTTCAAAAATGAAGAAAAGAACAATACCTTGACGAATGCTGGAGATACAAAATGGAAAGAATCTAGTTCCTGGATGACCTCACAGAATAGAGCCTTCTAGCTCTTGGCTAGAGAGAAATCGGCAACTATCTTATCTGGACTACCATATTTTCAGCTCAGCATCTCAGCTAGGATGATGATTTTGTTACAGCACCTCAGCCAACACCCTAACCTCTTCTGAGGCAATTGCAACCGTCCATGTTTGCACCAAGGTGGGAGGAATAAAAGTGGTGAGCCATGATCAGATTCAATTTCATGTAAGTAAAAGGAGCAGTCATTGTGATCTCCTGATGGGTATGATGTGAAATTCCAGGAAAAGAGAAGAGTCAAGAATGACCTGAATTTTTGGCATCAGCAACTGGAGAAATAGAGATGCTATTTATTGAGATGAAGAGACCAGGGCGGAGGTTGAATTTGAGATTGGCTCATGTAA